ATGAGAAGAAGTACATTGATAAGAAAATGACAAGTCCGATAAGGAAGGCGAAACGTTGTTGGAGACTGAAAAACATAATTTAGTCGAGAAAAACTCTTTCAACTCACTATTTTCCGAGATTGCAGAAGAAGTACAGACAAGTTATGAGGACTGCCAAAATTCCAACAATTATCATTGTTACTGACATGGCGACTACTGTATGGGATCCACTCCATCCGTAATTATTCATTAAAATTACGGATGTCAGCGTAGTAATAGTGACAATTGAGAGCGTCGAATTCATCTTTTGAATCCAGCACAACACGATGGTCGGCCAGTTGAGGTTCATCTGACCCACTTTTTCAAAACGAGCTTTGATTCCAGACAATGACATGACAGATGTATCTTTTTCTGAAAAAAAAACTCGTCTTTAAATTCAAAAAGGAGAGGTCCTGGCCGGGATCGAACCGACGACCTTCTGCGTGTAAAGCAGACGTGATAACCACTACACCACAGGACCGCTGGGAACTGCGTCTCTCACTAGGCGCCTATGAGACTCACTCAATTGCGACTTGGCGCGACGAGGCAGCTCTTTGAAAATGCAACAAATGATGGCGACGGAGACGAAGTTGGTGAGAGCGGCGACCCATATTGGTGCAGAATAAATGTGGAATTTGATGCTTCCGATGATTTGATATCCAGGATATGGGATCCAGAAGAAGAGAGCTTGGATTACTGTAAAAAAAGAGATTCACGGTCTACTGTAAACACTTGTAAAATATTATCATCTACTTTGAGAACCCGACTACTTTGAGCTCATATATCTTGTTTTCTGTGCGAGATATCAAAAAGTGATCAACTGATAAAATGTTTAACATAATGTCACACATATTTTGTCAATTGACCACTATTTGATATCTTGTACAAGAAATGAGATAACTGAGCTCAAACTTGGCGGTGTGAGGGACCTTCAGGTTTTATTGCATATAAAAAATATGTACATATTACTATCTTTCAAAAATGAATCCTACTAAAACAACTGATTAAACTAGTACCATCTTACAGGTGTCACAAATCCGTTCTTAATCGCAATAGAGTACTTTTCCAAAAGAGTGCATTTTCTCTAATAAAAACCAACTATGGACGCAATTTGAGCTCAATTATCTCGGTTCCTATGACAGATATTAAAGTGTGTCAACTGATAAAATATTGGTGATTTTAAGATAAACTTTTTGTTAGTTCACAACTTTTTGATATCTTGCGCATGAGACGAGATCTGCGGGTTTAAAGTTGAGGGGTTGGATGGCGCTCTATTTTCACGGTGTTTTTTCCGGGACGTTTTTAAAAATAATTTTGAATTCGCGCATTTTTTGATGGAATGCAGGCTACCGTTCGTAGCGACTCGGCCGTTCAGTCTAATGCATGCGCGTCGATACTCAGCGCGCTCAACTACGGTATTCGCGTTAGAGAACATTTACCTTACGTCCTGAAAAAAACACCGTGTATTTTCAAATGTTTACGGTAATTTAAGTTTTGAGCTTTCAATTACAGTAATGCAGTAGAAAAAACTCACTTGGTCCAACAATAATCGAAATCATAGTAGCCGCATTGAGTCCAGAATAGGCTTTTGGACGATCGGCATGTGAAGAAATAGCAGCCACATAGGCGCGAAGAATCGTTGAACTACCTAAAAATTGGTGGTTTTTTAAAGCAAACAGTTAAAAAAACTCACTAGCAGCAATTCCAAACAGGATATAACACAAAGCCATAACATATCTCCTTCCATTATCAAACATTTCGACACAAAGATAAAGCATACATGCTCCGAAAGCAATGATTCTTCCGGCGACAAGAGGTTTACGGAACGATTGATATCGATGACACCAGACGGCGAAAACGAGAGCTGCTAGCGCATGGAACATTTTTGAGGCAGCTGTGGCGGCTCCGAAGAATTGAGCATCGGCTTCTTTGTCGATTTCATTCATGTACGGCCATTCGCTCATTCCAACTACTGTATTCTCAATCGCAGCAATGAACATGACGAGTGAAGCGATCAGGATTCCATTCCGATTTGTTTCGATCTCCTGTGATTCTTCGCTTTCATTCTGACTCTCATCGTCTGAAATATTGAATTATTTTTAAGTATTGAAATTCCGTAAAACCTTTAATTGAAGGGCTCCCAAACTTTAAGTTTGAACTAATTTATCTCGGTCTGTGTGAAAGATATCAGAAACCTGTCAACTGATAAACTGCTTCTGATATTATGATAAACATTTGTTCAGTGGACACATTTTCGATATCTTGCACAGGAATTCAGATAATTGAGCTTAAACGGACACTGTTAGGGCCCTTCTATTACAGGTTTTACGGTGAGTGTTTTTACGGCTTTTTTTCTAGTTTAGAGGTCCCAAAATAAAATGAAAGTTGAAAATTTAGAGAAGCACAGATGTTGAAATAATGTACAAAAGTTTAAATTATTCCAAAATCTGTGCGTTTTTCAAATTTTGGAACTCTATTTTCTTTTGGGACATCTAAACTATTTTGCAACCTTTGAACTAGAAAAAGAGGCCCATTTTTACCTGGTAGTCTATCTTTTGGTAGTTCTTGACTCATTGATATCACCGGCATCTGATACCTCTCTGCAGCGGCCACCGCGGGCATTTTGCTCGCTGAAATTGATTGAAATTGATTGAATTGTGCTGGGGCAATATTAGTTTTATTAATGTAAACGATCAAACGGATAATTGAATTCCCTCACCCAAAAGCAATCAGAAAAATAGGTTTCATCTAATCTTGTAAATCTATTTTCAGAGGTTTTAAAATAATTGATCAGTCGGAAGGAATCAAAAAAATTCTCACAAAATCAATGTCGTCATTAGGGGGTTTTTCTCATCATGTGGGAGGAATCAGGGATCAAATTTTTGGAAAATAAGTCTTAAAAAATCAGACTGATCAAAAACTAAGAAATTCGAAAATTGAGAAAATCGGATATTGAAAATTCGGAAGTTTGAAATTTCTAAGTTTCAAAGATCCAGGTTTGCAGGTTTCCCAAAATCAAGTATTCGAAAAAAAAGTGTTTCAGAAATTTAGAGATTGTTGACAGTGGGAAAATAACAAAATAAATATTAACTCCGTTCAATTGATAATGAATAAAATGAGTGAAAAGCCATAAAAATTTCAGATTGTTCCTTCCGCAGCAATTTGAAATTTAATTCAAAAAAAAAGAAAAACAAAAAAAAAAAGTTTTTTTTCAAACAATTCGCTTTACCGGAAAATATTGTAGATCAAAAATTTGTTTTTTTAACTGAATGCGCCAAAAATTTCTGAATTCGAAACAGTGAAGAATAACCGGTCGTCGGGGCACAAACCAAAAAAAAAGGTTGGGTATAAAAAATGGGCGGAGTCTAATAAAAAAGATAAAAAGGACACACAACGAACATGCCTCAATTTGAGGAATAATATGACACTTGAAAACTACAAATGGACGGTAACACAAGAGGATTGTGGTGGTCAGGAAAAAGAAAAAGATGAAGGAATACAACCGGTTGACTATTATGAAGAGAGAAAAAGAAGAGAAAATTGAAACAAGATGATGGAAACATGTACAGAGAAACAGAAAGTGATTGGCATTCTCGCAGGCCGCAATTGGATCACAATAGGATGTGTGTTTGTGTTTGGCAAGTCAGGAATTTTCGGGGTAAAAGAAGCAGATCAAAAGAGTAAGGTTCCCATGAGAGAGAAGAATGGGTTCAATCTATAAAGAAAAAACCGAGAGGAGGAGATTGAGTAACTACAGAATGATGATTTGAATAAATTTTGGTAAAAGTACGCTACGTGAAAAAAAGTTTGTGTTTCGTGGTTTGATGTTACTGTCACATATCATTAACTTCGACCCAATTTACCAAAAAAAAGTATGATAGAAGGCCACCCAACCTTTCAACTTTGAACCCGCGCATCTAATTTTCTGCACAAGATTTCGAAAAGTTGTCATCTGACAGAATATTATTGAAATTGTAATAAACATTTTTTAGTGGACTGTTTTTTTATATCTGTTACAGGAACCGAGATAAATTGGCTCAAAGTGGACAAGTCGGCGCTTGCTGTCCCACCTACGCGATAAGCTGCCATCCTTTCAACTTCGAGCCTTTATATCTCAGTTCCTGTAAGATATATCAAAAAGTTGTCAACTAACAAAATGGTTTTGATATTATAACAAGAATTTTGTTAATTGACCTCATTTAGATATCTTTTACAGAAAAAGAGAGGTTCAAAGTTGGCTGTTTGAGACAGCTGAGCTGGTGGCGGCGCGGCATCTCCACCCTCTGTATTTACCCGCTTTGAGCTCAATTATCTCGGTTCCTATGAGAGATATTAAAAATCTGTTAACTGATAAAATATTAGTGATATTATGATAAACATTTTGATACTTGGTCACTTTTTGATATCTCACACAGGAGTTGAGATATAAGGATTCAAAGTTGAGGGGTTAGAGCTTCTATTAGAAAAAAAAACGGTTGTTTTTAAACAGCTCACAATGCTTGTTTTTTTCCAAAAATTTGAAAAACTAGATTGCTATTCATAGACTATAGCATACATCGAATAACAGACACACCAACAATTTAAAATTTGCCTAGTTCCGCAAAAACACCTCTCTTACCATCAAAAAATCTGCTCTTCTACGACTTTTCCAGTAGTTTCGACTTGTTTTTAAATTCACCAACTGATTGTTGATTTAGTAGACAAACATCGCTTCTCAGTGTTAAGGGAATACAGGAGATGACTCAAACAAAATGATAGGGGATGATGATTCTGATTCAATATTTATAAACAATTTTTAATTCGGTAGTAGTAAAGGGTTTATTATTTATTAGTAAATAATCGGAAGGGTTTGGTGATGAGTTGTGTCAATAGTTATGATCGGGTATCGGAGATTAGGAGATCAAGGAAGTAGGAAGAGAAATAAGGAAGTAATTGAGCCTTAATTGGCAGTAAAAAGTTTTCAAAGAAAAAAATTTCGGAGATTTACAACAAGAGGGGGTTTTTGGGATTTGAATATGCAAGTCCACCCAAACCGTCAACTTTGAACTCAATTATCTCGATTACTGTGAAAGATATCAAAAATGGTCAACTACCCAAATGCTCATCATAATATCATCAACATTTTATCAGTTGACAAATTTCTGATATATTTCATAGGAATCAAGATAATTGAGCTCAAAGTCAAAAGTTAGGGATCCTTTTATTGCAGGTTTTACGGTAGTTCATTGAAATCAATTTTTAATAGACCAATTCTTGCAAGTGAGATTTTTCCTAGTTTCCAAGAAAATCCGGCGAAATTCAGTCTAGGCAAAACGTGTGATCTAGAAATCAAAAATTCAGATTTCGGTCCAAAATAAACACACAAGTACTAATTTTCTGAATATCCACCCAGGTGGAATTCATTGTAACTGACTCACGATCTCAAAAGTTGGAGACCAACTTTTATTTTGACCAACTATAAACTACAAAAAAAACCCCCAGATGATACGAGTTGAAGAGGTCAACTTCTTATCAGCTCACGGTTTACGAATGGAATGGCAAGAATGAGAACAAAAAGTACGAAAATATGTTTTTAGGCAGTTGGAGATTAGGTTTTGAACACAAAAAAAGACACACGTGGCAAGAAAGGGATGTTTTTAACTAAAAATTTTAAGTGTGTTGTTTTAGAAATGTACTTTAAGGCCAAAAAAAAAAAGATTCAGGATACCGTAAACACACTATGTAACAGAAGGTTATCCAAACCAACAACTTTGAACCGATATATCTCGGTTAATGTGTAAGATATCAAAAATATGTGAACAGATAAAACGTCTATCATATTATCACCAAAATTTGGTTAGTTAATCTCTTTATGATATCTTTAATGGCAACCGAGATAATTGAGCTCAAAGTGCGTGAGTAAAGGGTGGTGCCCACCCTTGGAAGCGCCGCCTGAGCTGCTCCAATCCGCCAACTTTGAACTATTATATCTCATTTTCTGGGAAACATATCAAAAAGTGGTCAACTAAAAATTGCTTATCATGTTATCCCCAAAATTTTATCATTTGATTAATTTTTGATATCTTTTACAGATAAATTGAGCTCAAAGTGCGCATAAATGAGCTTCTATTATGGCGAATACGGCGGTTTTATGGGCTTTTTTTCTACTTTAGAGGTCCCAAAAAATTAGAGATTGTGGGCTTCTATAAAAGAAATACTGTAATTTATGTATTTGATTTCCATATAATATCAAAAATATCATTGAGCAATGATCATAGAAACAAAAACCATGAATCGGTTATAATCCAAATGGTTCAATTCCCCCCATCCGAATTTTCATTTTATACCAAAAATTTCCCACTCGTTTTCAAATAATCTCTCTCTAGATTTGGACTTTGAATGAACGATTTTAATGGGTTCAAGTAAAAATTCGGAAATTCAGAAATTCAGAAGTTCAGAAATTCAAAAACTCAGAAATTCAGAAACTCAGAAATTTAGAAATTCAGAAATTCAGAAGTTCAGAAATTCAGAAATTCAAAAATTCAGAAATTCAGAAATTCAGTAATTCAGAAATTCAGAAATTCAGAAGTTCAGAAATTCAAAAACTCAGAAATTCAGAAACTCAGAAATTTAGAAATTCAGAAATTCAGAAGTTCAGAAATTCAGAAATTCAGAAATTCAGAAATTCAGAAATTCAGAAATTCAGAAATTCAGAAATTCAGAAATTCAGAAACTCAGAAATTTAGAAATTCAGAAATTTAGAAATTCAGAAATTTAGAAATTTAGAAATTCAGAAATTCAGAAATTCAGAAATTCAGAAATTCAGAAATTCAGAAATTCAGAAATTCAAAATTTCGAAAATTCAAAATTTCCCACCTTTTATACAGAGCACAACCTAAATCAATTTCCCAATGACTCAAAACTTCTGTGATCCGGTACAGTATACTGTTAAAAAAACTTAACCTATTCAATTCTTTGGTGTCACAAAATACAACACATTGTGTTCACACAAAATCACAAAACAGTCAGAAAAAAAAGTTGGATCAGGTTGTATTTTAATTCGACTGACTCATACACTACAAACAAAATAAATGATTGACGAAGTTTCATCAGGTGTGAAATTCGTCATTTATGTAAATTTGTAAATTTTGTTAAAGTGAAAAAAGAAGACAAATTCAATATCATATTTATTCAAAAAACACAATCTTCTCCTAGTTATTTTCTCATGTTCATTGAACTTTTTGTTGCAGATCCATCTTTTGACGATTTTTGAGATTTGGTTCCCATCAGAGCCTCTTCTTCCTGTAAAATATCTTTTTAGAGTATCTAGGATTTTTCAAGAATCTTACAGCGCAGAGAGCTTCATCGAATGAAACTGGTGGTGGTGGTTTTTTGATTGCACAGTAGTTGTAGAGTCCAAAAGCCAAAAGGAATGCTGCCCAGAAGACACCTCCAAGGAGGATAATCTGAAAAAAGAGGATCCCAACTACAGTAAACCTCTAATAGAATGCCCTCTTTCAATTTTGAGCCTAAAAATCTCAATTTCTGTAAACGATACCGAAAATCGGTCCACTGATAAAATGTTTACCATAATATCAAAAATATTTTATCAGTTGACAATTTTTTGATATTTTTTTACAGGAACTGAGACATATGAGCTTGAGGTTATAAGCAGAATTTTTTTAGTTTTGTGGGAATTTCAGAATTTCTCAATTTTAAAAAAGTTATGGAATTTTTGAGATTTCTTTTGAATTTTTCAGCATTTTGAAGTTTTTTCCCCGTATTTTTAAAATTTTTTTAGAAAAAGTTTCTTAATTTTTAGGATTTTCAAAATTTCAAGTTTTTGCAATTTTTTGAAATTTTCAAAAATTCTGAATTTCTGAATTTCTGAATTGAATTTCTGAATATCTGAATTTCTGAATTTCTGAATTTCTGACTTTCTGAATTTCTGAATTTCTGAATTTCTGACTTTCTGAATTTCTGAATTTCTGAATTTCTGAATTTCTGAATTTCTGAATTTCTGAATTTCTGAATTTCTGAATTTCTGAATTTCTGAGTTTCTGAATTTCTGAATTTCTGAATTTCTGAATTTCTGACTTTCTGAATTTCTGAATTTCTGAATTTCTGAATTCAGTAATCTGCTAATTTTTGAAGCTTTTTTTGATACCTTACCAATTTATAAGTGGTCATTTTTTCCCATTCCGATCGAAATCCATTACCATGTTTCACAATCGGAATTGTCGAAGAAACATTCAGATTTTGATGCATTCTCAGAGAATGACAAGAGCAGCTTAGAAATGATTTGTGGATTTTTTTCAATGTGCAAACTTTTTTACTTTACACGAAATCTGTCGAATCGTTTCGAGACCCAAATTTCTTTGCAGTAATCATGATAAATTTACAAAAATACACGTTTATTGTTGTTCAAAATATACAGGCAAGATTTTGTTGTTTTGTGAAAAAAACAGGTTGTTCAGATTTCTTTTTTTTTTTGAAAATCGAATCTGAACACATGAAAAAGACCCAAATAATTTGGGGTTGAAAATAAGTGAAAGATTGCGCTGACTAGACCAAATACTCAAAAAAAAAACACTAACATAAAACAATCTACATTCGGGGATCTGATAGAATCAAGAAGCACCATTTGAGGAAAGAAAGAAAAAATAATTCGAGTAAAAATTAGCAAGTTGTCGATGGAATCTCGTTTTCCGTTGGTTCAACGGTAACATCTTCATCGTTATCTGGGGCTGATGGGCTATGGGAACTACAAGAATCATCGTTATCAACATGCTCATCTGTTTCTTCAAGTAATGACATTATTTGATGACGGACCTGAAAAAAATATTTATAATTCCGACATATTTCTGGAGAAATTCAGAAATTTCAATTCTGAAATTCTGGAATTCTGAATTCCTAGAATTCTGAGAATCTGAAGCTCTGAATTTCTAAAAGGTTTGATTTCTAAAATTCTGAAATTCCCATTCTTCAGTACTCCGAATTTCGCATCCTACAGTAATCCAAACTTTAATTCTACAAGAATTCAGAAATTCTGAAATCCAGAAATTCAAAAATTCCGAAATTCTGAAATTCAAAAACTAAAGTTCTAAAATTCAGAAATTCAGATATCTTAAAATTCGAAAATTCAAAAATTCAGAAATGCAGAAATTCAGAAATTCAAAATTTATTGCAAGAATTTGACTCACCTTTTTCCTTTTTTTCGGATCCATCTTCTTCAATTTCAGACCAATAATTCTGCTATACAACAAATCCTCATCATTCAACCACTCGAGAGCAACCCGTCCAACCTGAAAATTTGGGTTTGAAAACTACATCTTTTCTGATTCAAATATTCGAAACCAAACGCGATAGGATTGGTTTAACTTCGAAAAACTCACTTGCTGTAAATGATTTCTCATTAGATTTTCAGCATGTTTTTGATGCCGATGTCTTGATGCCTCTTTATAAGGATGAAAATGATTATTAGGTGATGATGAGGTAGGAGGAGGTGGAGTTGGTGTAATGACTGGAGTGGCTGCACTTTCAGACTTGATTGCTCCATGGAGCATTGATCCCATTCCAGATAATTGAGCTGCCAAATGATGAGCAAATCTTGCCTGGTTCGCAGCGATCAATGTTTCAACTGATGGTTTTTGAGGGAGTTGAGGAAGTTGTGGAGGTTGTGGTGGAACAATCGTTTCAGCATTTTGTGCATTTATTACTTTTTTGAGCATTTCCATTGCTTGACTTTTTACTGGAGCCGGAGATTTTTCAATGTTCTCTTCTTCATCATCTCCTCCGAATTCTTCATCTGCTGGTTTCAGTTTCATATCTTCTTCTTCTCCATCATCTCCATCCACTCCATCCACATCCACAGTTCCATCCAAACTTTGTGTTCCAGATTCATCATTTTCAATTTCCGGAGAAATACTATCCAATCTTTGAGCCGTTTGTGCCAAAAGTCTGTCAAGAACCGATGATTCCAATGCTGGATCACTGTCCTCGTCCTCCATTTCGTATTTGATTCCATTCAAATTTGGGAATCCAAACCAGTTGAACGGGGTGTTGGGAGCGTTATCATCAAATTTAAGATCGCTCTTCTTTTCGTCTGCTGCTTGGGCACTGGAAAATATTTCCAAGTTGAAGATTTTTAAAAGTTTTAAAAGCAGAAGATTTATCTTCATTTTTGCAGTTTTTTAAACAACTTCAATAGAAAAAAAGTTGCTTTGGAAAAAAAACCTTTTTAATAAATTTTCTAAAGTTTCAGATCTCTCGGACCAATGTAACATTTTTTTCTAATTTTCCTCACTTTTTCAAATTTCAAAATTTCAAAAATTAAAAAAAAATCAAATTTCAAAAATTCAACAAGTTTGAGAAAGTTGGGGGCGCCCACCCTTGGAGGTGCCTCGCCACCACCAGCCGAGCTGCCCCAAACCACCAACTTTGAACTCTTATATCTCATTTTCTGTAAAAGACATCAAAAAGTGAGCAACTGAAAATGAGATATAAGGGTCTAAAGTTGGTGGTTTGGGACAACTCAGCTGGTGGCGGCGCTACACCTCCCAGGGTCAAAATTTACTTACACATTTTGAACTCTATTATCTCGGTTCCTATGAGAGATATCAAAAATGTGTCAACTGATAAAATGTTTATCATAATATCACTAATATTTTATCAGTTAACAAAATTTTGATATCTCTTTCAGGAACCAAGATAATTGAGCTCAAACTTGTCCTCACACCTTCTATTATTACAGGTATTTTTAAAAAACTCACATATTATCTTTCAAAAATGGATCCAACCAAGACAACTGATTAAAATAACACCATCTAACCGGTGTGACAAATCCATTCTTAATCGCAAGTTTCAACTCTTTTCTGTATCGATCTCTCAGCTGCAACCACCGCTTCTTAGCGAATTCAGCTGCACAGTTCGGATCGATATTCTTTGCAATTGATTCCCAAAGTCTTTGACGTTCCGTCGTATCACCGGAACCACGTCTTGAGTGATTATAAAGGCACGGATATTTCCGAACCTCGTTTATCAGACGGGCGTTGAACGCCGGCTGAAAAGCCATCTGAAATAAAATTTGGATAAGATTTTGATGATTTTGGGATAAAATGAGAGTTTAAGGATAAAGAGGGATCATGAAGAGGAGAAAAAAAACATATGAATAGAAAAATTCTGGATTCCGGATCTTGAAAACGTTGCCAGCACATCCGATGTAGTTCTAAATTCTCGTGGTTGAGCCATCAGCCGAGTTCACGTATACGGGTTTTTTTTCCGGGACGGTTTTTGAAAATAATTTTTCCCGCGCTTTTCCGAATACAATTTGAAGCTTTTCGAGACCAACGCTTATTTTACTGTAGTATTACGAGCATTCGCCTGAGAGCGCATTTACAGTACTTCCTCTAACATAAGCCCACCCAAAATGAGAAGTTTGAGCTCAATTATCTCAGCTACCTTAAGAGATATCAAAACTTTGTCAACTGATAACATATTGGTGGTAATATGATAACCATTTTGTTAGTTGACCACTTTTTGATATTTTTCACCGAAAATGAGATATAAGGGTTCAAAGTTGGTGGTTTGGGGCAGCTCAGTTGGTGGCCGCGCGGCACCTCGAAGAGTGGGCGCATCCCTATACTTACACACTTTGAGCTCAATTATCTCGGTTTCTGTGAGAGATATCAAAAGTCTATCAACTGATAAAATATTGGTGATAATATGATAAACATTTTGTTAGTTGACTACTTTTCGAAATCTTTGACAGGAATTGAGCTGATTGATCTCAAAGTTAAAAGTATCGGTTGGCTTCTTTTAGAGGAAATACGGTATTCCGGAAAAAAAATCTCGCGCAAACCCTAGAAAAGATCAGACTCAAACTTTGAGATTCACTAAATCTAGTATTACATCTTCTTCTCCTTTTCCGTTACCAAAAAAGTTTACAGTTTGACATAGTTAGTGTGTCTCTGTAATAAAAGTTTACACATCTTCGTCTTTTGCCGAAAAACGGAAAACGAAGAACAAGAAGTAGAAGGGAGGCATCGTTCGTAATCTCATCTGATAATAAACTACAGTAAGAAAACATAGACAGACAGAAAAGTGTCTCATCTGGAAATTGGCACGCATTTCTAGAAAAGAAGAAGAAACCGGTAGTATGTACGGAAAAGGGAATCGAGATGAAGTGAAGAGGAAAAAAAAGAAGGAAGACGTGAAAGAAATTGGGGAGAGACAACAAGAAGAAGCTCTATTTTTTCCGGTGAAGAGAGAGAGAGTGAAAAAGGATATGGTTACATTTTGGGATGTTGACTCCAGAAGGGGAAAACGGTATGTTTTCTGGAGAAATCGGAGATTCTCTAGGAATGAAAAATTTCAGTGACTAATTGAAAGTACCGTAAAACCTGTATTAGAAGGGCCCCTCTTCATAATGTGTTACTTGAAATTGGCATTTGCGTACGTTATCCGTGAAAAATATTCCGGAAGTTCCACGATTTTACCGGATTTTCACAAGAATTTTCTGATGAAAAAACTTGAAATAAATTGCCGGAAAAATAGAAGAAGGGGACTTTTAATTTTAACCAAATTTACCTCGATTCCTGTGAAAGATATCGAAAAGCTATCAACTGATATATTGTTTATCATAAGATCTCCAATATTTTATCAGTTAACAAAATTTTGATGTCTGGTATAAGAGCCGTGATAAATTAGCTCAAACTTGACAATGTGAGGACCCTTCTAATACAGGTTTTACATTAATTTTTTCTTTGAAAAATCTAGGGCTTGGCAACTCTGAAATTCAAAGATTCTGAAATCGGGAGATTTTTAAATTCTAAGCCGTCGCAGAATTCTTTTTGAAGTTTTCAAAATTTGAGGGTTCTGAAGTGCCGAAAAACCTTTAATAGAAGGGCCCCTGCATTGCCAAGTTTGAGCTTAATTATTTCAATTCCTAAGAAAGATATCATAAACTTGTCAACTGATAAAATTTTGGTGATATTATGATAAACATTTTGTTAGTTGACAAATTTTTTATATCTTTCACAGAAAATGAGATATAAGGGTCCAAAGTTGGTGGTTTGGGACAACTCAGCTGGTGGCGGCGCTACACCTCCCAGGGTGGGCGCCACCCCGTACTTACATAATTTGAACTCTATTATCTCGGTTCCTATGAGAGATATCAAAAATGTGTCAACTGATAAAATGTTTATCACAATATCACCAAAATTTTATCAGTTGACAAATTTTTGATATCTCTCACAGGAACCGAGATAAATTGGCTCAAAGTTAGAGGCCATTCTATTACAAGTTTTACGCTTGGGGGCTCAAGATTCTGATAATTCTACCGTATCTTACTTCTGCTCCAGAGTTTTCTAATCGGCAAAAGTTAAAATCCAGATTATCTTTTTATTCCTCTCTACCCAAAAACAAAAATATGAGAAAAAATAGGCAACTATTTAGCCGGGAAGCTGCATGAAAACTGGCCATAATATCGTTGTTTCGGGCGTAGAAGAACCCTAAACACAGCGGGATAGGATACATTGACTGTGGCCGGTTGGGCTTCTTCTTCATTCATCTTCTCCTTCTTCATCTTTTTCTTCTTCTTCTTCTACAACGTCTTCCGAATCATATCAGATAAGAAGCCGTTGATCCGCGGCCGCCCGAAAAAGGAAGAAGCGGAGAGGAGAACACGAAATCCGGATTGCGGATATCCGAACTGAACAGATACGTGAGAAATAGTTGGGGGAAATGAGAGACGCAGAGAGAAAGACTGGATTCGGGACGACCGGCGGATCGAATGGAGAAGGCAGGAAGGAGGAAGACGTTTAACATAACACTTGGAATGATAAAAGTGATTTGATTTAACTTTTTTTCAGAGGTTTTTTTTTGTTCTGTGATAAAAAATTTATTTGTAGGCGTTGCCGGATCGAATTTGGTGGAACTGAAGAAAATGTGTTCTTTAGAACGTCAAACTATATTATTCTTAGGTCAATGGAAGAACGGATACCGTAAAACCTGTAATAGAAGGGCCCTCAGCTTTAAACGTTGGGCCAATTTATCTCAGTTCCTGTCAAAGATATGAAAAAGGTGTTAACTGATATAATGTTTATAGGTATTCTAGATTATGGTATTTTAGATTTACAGTATTCTAGATATGATTATGGCTTCCAAACCTGAACGATCTGGAAGGTCTCGAAATTTCTTTAAATTTAAGTATTAGCCGATTCTGGAGTTTGAGAAGGTCATGAAATCGTGGGTACATGCAAGAAATGTCCGGTATGATTTTTTTGAGAAACGAAAATCCGAAATTTGGAATTAATAAATTTTTTTTCGGAATTCGCAAATACGGAATCAAAATTAGAGCCTGGCTAACGGAATACGGAATGTTTATGATATTAAAATTATGAAATTCTAAGATTCTAACACTCCTAAATCCTGAAATTGAGATTTTAGGATTTTGAGAATGACAATTTTACAGTTTTTCAGACAAATGAAATATGAGCACTGATATTTTTAATCCCGAAAAATCAGTTATTTTGAAACATTGAAGTTTTAATAGAGTTCAAAGCACCAGAAAACTCTGATAATCCCTCAGACTAAAATACTTGAACTATTTGAGGGTCCTAGGGTATTCTAAGCTTTTGAGGCTCATGATCAAGAATAACACTGGTAGGATCATCTACTGTACAGGGCAATAAGATACACAAAAACGTAATTTTCAGTTGATTTTTGACAATTTTCAGGACTTAAGAGCTCGGATGTCAAGTTTCCGATCACTTTGCAAATTTTGGAGGGTGTAAAACAATCCTAGATTGAAAACTTACCATTCACAGAATTTTTACAAAATTTCAGTTTTTCAGACATTTGCCGATTTTTGACAGACACCAATATCAATCATTATCAGATAAAGAATAATTGTATGCTTTTAGAAGTGATAACAATAAAAGATAACGATACCCTAATGTCCAAATGAATCCTAATGGAACCATTAATAGCATCATAAATGGACACCTCAGTCCTCTAGAAAACTTGAAAAATTAAGAAGAGGAGTATCAAACCGCCCGTCTCCCTAACGGAAAAATGAAAAATGAGAAGAAAAGCAGTAACTGTCAAAAAAAAGTTTACTGTGTATAAAATAGAGAGAGCAGCTTTTCGGGTCGAGCCAGTAGGCACAGCAGCTCAACTGTACACCATTTCACTTTTCTCTTTTTTTCCCCTCACTTTTTCTTCAATTTTACTAACAAAACTCCCCTCTCGGCTCTTACAGTAAATGGCAAATACCCCCGAGGGAAAGAACGGAAAACCGGCGGTGCCGTTGGGGTTACGCAAACACCGGAAATAGTATGGAGATTGGAGAGAGTGGCAGAGAAAGAGAGGCAAAGTGGGAGGAAAAGTAAACTTATGGCACAGTGATCAGATCGGGAAGCGAATGGAGCAGATTTTTTTTGGAGAAAAAGAAAAGTTGGATGAAAAGTTCAGTGAAGGGTCGGAGAGTATCGGCAAGAGTATTGACAGGTTTTTTGAGAAGAAACGGAATGAAATTTGAGAAAGGAAGAGCACAATAGAAGACTGTAACTTATACTTGATCAAAGAATTAGAAATTGGGTTTTGAAGAAATTGGGATACGAGAAAAAATAGCGAAAAGGAAGGGTTTCCAAAAAGGCACCCATCGTATTTTCTCTAATAGAAATCCATTCAAACTGACAACTTTGAGCTCCATTATCTCGATTTCTGTGAAAGGCATCACAATTTAGTCAGCTGATAAAATACTGATAATCTTATGAGAAACACCTTGTTGGTTGGTCACTTTTTGATATCTTTCACAAAAAATGAGATGTATGGGTTTAAAGTTGGGGGTTTGGGGCAGCTCAGTGCGGCACCTCCAAGGGTGGGCGCCATCCTATACTTACACACTTTGAGCTTAATTTATCTCGGTTCCTGTGAAAGATATCAAAAACTTGTTAACTGAGAAATTGTTTATCATAATATTACCAATATTTTATCAGTTGACAAAATTTTGATATCTTCCATAGTAATTTAGATAATTGAGCTCGAAGCTGACCGTTTGGGTGGGTTTCT